ACACACACACACACACACACACCAAAATTACAAAGCTCTGTCAATGGTCAATGTTGCGTTTCTAATTTGAAACCTGCTCTGAACTTTTCAAGTGCTGTCAATAATTAATTTGAGGGGTTTGTTTGATGTAAACAGATCAAGTCAAACTACGGAGAGCAAGGGAGGCCTGGAACATCTGCTGTGCCTTCATTTTTGGTTCTTAAACTTCTTGCCCAAGGCAGAAGAGCAGTACTACAACATGTGTTGACATTTTTAACAACTCAAGAACAAAGAGCTTACTCACCTGTTCCTCTGGCTCCTCCAACCCAAAAACAAAACAACATGAGTGGCTGCCAACACTCCAAGCACAGATACATTGTGTCCTGACATTTTTTCCCATACAATAAGCATATGGAAAAACCTTCGCCCAGCAGTTCTTTGACACCAGTAAAACAATGAAACATGGAAAACCTGGACTGACATTACAGCATTAGAAGAGTCCATTTTATTAGGCCAGTGGTTCCCAACCCTGGTCCTGGAGGCACCCCAATACTGCACGTTTTGCATGTCTCCTTAATCAAACACACCTGATTCAGGTCATCAGCTCATTAGTAGAGACTCCAAAACCTGAAATTGGTGTGTCAGAGAAAGGAGACATGCAAAATGTGCAGTGTTGGGGTGCCTCCAGGACCAGGGTTGGGAACCACTGTATTAGGCCATGGATGAGCTGTAATCTTTTGGCCTGTCCCAAATGCTACCTACATAATGCCACATACACTACTACAGGGTTCTCAACTCTGGCCCTCAAGGTCCACTTTCCTGCAGAGTTTAGCTCCAACCTTGATCAAACTCACCTGCCTGTAACTTTCTAGTGATCCTGAAGAACTTGATTAGCTTGTTCAGGTGTGTTTGATTAGCGTTGGAGCTAAACTCTGCAGGAAAGTGGACCTCGAGGGCTAGAGTTGAGAACCCCAGAACTATTGGGTTGTAATCCACTAGAGTCTACAAAGGAATGCTCATGAGCATCTTTTGAATCACAAAATGACAAATGGTACACCCAGCATCTTGTGGACTTCACAGACACATGTGAACGAGCCCATAGTACAGTACAGAAACTGCAAGTCCACATCAGTTGTGCCATTTGGGACACAGCCTTTGATTGTTCAGGCCTCAAACTGTTGGCAGCTGTAAGTACATTTTACAAAAGATGCCTTGGAAAATTTACCTCCCATACCAAACATCAGAGGACCTGCCCAAAGCTGTCAATATCTCTAAGTGTTGTGACATAGTAGTCAAAGATATCTAAAGTTAGGTAGCACCAGTTAAATAACCAGTTGCTTGGCTATTTTTGCCTATTCTGATGTACTGTATAACCTTCCTCATACCCATCACCAGGCTTTAATTGTAGGCATGATTGCAGCCAAAAAAATGATACTCCTCAACTGGAAATCTCCACAAGTTCCTTGTTTTCAAAGATGGTTAAATGAGATACTCTATATATTATCCAAATGGAACAGCTACGTTTTGGTGAGATCTGCTCACAAAAAAGATTTGAAGGGACCCCTCCTGAGACTCTTGGAAATGTAACTATGAAACATTCTGTAAACCTTCCCTTCTGTTCTTTTGATATTTCAGTTTTCTTTTCCTACTGTGGTGAATTATCTGATTTATAAAACAATTGTGAATATTGTCATTTATGTTTATATTTTCAAATTATGTTGTAAATATGTTAATTGAGGCAGTCCTGTTTTTTTCAGTTTCTTTTATTTGTGTAATTGTATGTATTTTGATATTCTATGTTAGTTTTTAGTTGTTTCTTAACTTTAATAACTGTAAAACTGTAAAACTTTAAAGTATACAAATAATAATAATATTAATAAAATAACCAGTTGCTCAGTTCCAGAAGAGTTTTGTGCTTTTCTTTCCAATTGTGCTGTGAAAAAATGTGTAACCTAGGTGAACCATACCTGCAAGTTTTCAAATGAAAGTCTCTGTGAATAAGCATGACTGATATGCATAAGGTCAAAAATAATGGTTGACCTAGATCAAAACACAGGTCATTAGTGTGTTTCAAATACAGGTCCGTTTTTGGTACCTGTAATTCATGTTTATGCATTTGGTAGACACTTTTGTCCAAGGTAAATTACATTGCATTCAGGGTGTACATTAGTGCATTCCCTGGGAATCAAACCCATGACTTTGGCATCAATAATGCATAACTCAACTGTTTAAGCTACAGGAAAAGTGGTGAGAATACACTTTTGGTCTGAGGTGACCCATGTGAGGTACCTACTCATTCAAAGTTATATACAGAATGTTTAACCAGCAGGCCTTCTTTGGTCAACCACCTTCTTTAAAAATTCTATGCTGGTTTACCAGTTTCACTAACTTTTTTTTTTTGCTGGTGAATAGTACTGCTATGCTGGTCCACCGGCTAGACCAGCACCAAACCACTAACCACAGCACTAACCAATGCATATCTCAGTCTGTCTCTGTTGAAAGCTCCAGCAATCATTCAATCCAACACACTACAGGGTTGCATGGGGGAAGTCGAGAGGTCGGCTCTTCTCCCACTACCACCGTCGCTGCACGTTTCCCACACAACACTGCCAGAACCTTTGACCTTAGAGCTCCAAAGAGGTTAGGCTAAACAGGACCACCCTGCCTGGCTTAAGGGGGCGCCCCTGGGGTGCTTCACCCCTTCTCCAGCATTAGGGAGGGACTTGATCAGCAGCGCAGTGCTCAGGGCTGAACAGACCTATTTCAAGGGGTAGACAGTGTTTTGGGAGCGGTGGAGGTGAGCAAGGGGTGGGTTGACACGATGTCTGCCTGCTTTCACAGAGTAATTGATCTCACCGGCTTCATGAAGTGCTGTTGGAGGAGCAGTCAGACTCTAAATGCTGACATCTGTCCCTACTTCCCTTACAGAGGGGGCCCGTTTACATGGATGTGGGCAGATCAGGTTCAGTGTGTCAGAGTGCAGACTGGGGTGAACCCAAACTTCAGCAACCAGCAGCTACAATTCATTGAGTGGACAGTAAACGCTACTAGAAGTGGAAATCATATGAGCCAATGTTCTGTAAATTACATTGTGGCTCGTGTTTTTATGGGTATTTTTATAATGTACCATGGTTGCCATGTTTTTTTGTGGACATTTTCAAAACAAATTTAAAGGACTCCTTTCTTAATGTGTACCAAATAACATTTAAAACCTTAAGGCCCTTTGTGGGGGAATGTACTTTTCAATGCTTTTTTGAGTCAACTTTGGGCTTGGAAAATTACTAGGACCTGGCAAACCTGATGCTGGTTCATACTGTGTGATCTTAGTTTTATTGAATTAAAATAGTAGCAGCTTAGTATTTTGGCTGTTTTTTCAATGTATGCTTCAGACATGGGTCACGACGAGGCGTTCACCCATAGAGGACCCCTAGAGGACGCAGTGTCTCGTTCCCTACTCAGGGAACCATGGTTACATAAGTAACCTGAGACGTTTTGTAGTTTGGCATAAAATATAGTTGGTAGATTTTTGAAAGGTATAACTGCAAAATGAAATAAAAAATGCATTATAATAATTAACTATATGATTTATGTTTTCATTAGTGGCTGATAATTTATGCTGTGCATTTTGGAGTGTAGCATGTTTTCTGGAAGGAGAGCGATGGAATAAGATGTGTAAATGTCAGCTGTCCACCTCTAAATCTCTCTTTATCACCTGCCATATAATGCTCTCAGGGGTTTTTCGCAGCACGACAAGAGTCCTAATAAAGCCGCCGGATTTCACCCCATGCTTTCTGCCACTTAATCTCCATTACCTGAGACTTCCACTTCAGCTGAGAGCCGTAACTTCTGGGGTTATGTAGTTAAAGGTGCACAAATTAGTTCCCATGGTAGGTTTTGCTGTTTATAAAAGGAGATTTACACACTCTTAAACTCTTTAACAGAGACATTAGGACTCAGCACTGTGGCAGTACTATGGAACAGTTATGGTATCAGATAGGGTATGATGATATCATGTATCGTGGTGTTTATATGGTACTCCAAAGTTTTTGTGAGATTAGACACTGGCACATGTCCATTTTGACATGTCTAATAATTAGCAATCCTGTACCTCATGGGTTTGTTAAATCATGGGTATGATTCAAAGGAAATGCATGAATGCAAATTAAAATAGCTTTGGTTGAATTTGTTGTCCCTTTCAAAAATGTCATGTCATTGAGGCCTACTAAAATAAAGTTCCCCAAACATGTTTAGATATGTGTCTGCATGTGAACAATAGAAGCAGTCCCATGTTTGTGATCTCCTCAGATGCTGAGATGCCTGGGAAAGCTAACGGCAGGATGCAGGAATGTGCCGGCAGGTAGCGGAGGGGCCCAGGAAACAGTGGGATGTGGAAATATCCATGCTGTCGAACAATGGAAGCTGTGTGCAGGTGCAGTAAAAAAGCCCCTGAGAGAGACGAGGGGAGATCAGGTTACCCAGCCCCACTTACCTGCTCAGTTCAACACACACTTCAAAAAGAGAAGGACAGACAGCAGATTCAGTGTGTACCATTCATAGAAACCCAGGAATGAGTTTGTGTGTATGCTTTTGTGTCTGTACGTGTGTGTGCCTACAGCGGAAAGCTGTTGATTAATTGACATGGGAGTGAAGTGAGAAGGGGAAGGTTTCTGGCTATAGACAACTCTAATGTGAGATTCTGTCTTACCCAGGGTAGTGGAAAGACACTGATCTCACTTGATTTTACGGCAGTTTCTTTTACATACTGAAACAAGATTTGGGTATTTCATCATTGTCCAGTGACAGTGCTATAGGCTGTTGTGACTGGTTGCTATGGCATTGCTTTGCAGTTGCTAAAGGGTTCTGTGTGGTTGCAATACCATTGCTAGGTCATTGCTAGGTGGTTCAAGTCATAACAGCCCACCGTCAGACCTCTATGATATTCCTGATATGGCTTGGTTCCTATTTAAATAAGGCTTAGAATTTTTCCACCATTGTTATTATCCTCCAGGTGATTGTCTAATTATTTAGAAACATAATAGCACATCTCCTCAATAAGTTGCACAGAGTTTACATGCAGATTCTTTTATACAAAACAACATTGCATTCATATTACATGTCATATTACAGGTCGTATCAGTTTTTTTTGCCTGTATTTTGATAGGACAGTACAAAAGTAGACAGCAAGCACTGGGAAAGAAGAGAGGGGAACAGGGTCAGGAAAGGACCTTAAGTTAGGACTTGAACTCGAGTCATCCAAAGTGCTGCTGCACCGTAATTTGGAGCATTTACCAACAAGGTAATTTGCATCAGTTTATGTATTCCCTGGGATTTGAACCCAACTGTTTGTCCCTGTTTACACATGGCATTAAGATGCGTTTTGGTTGATTGGATCACAAATAACAACGGAGACACATTCCCATTTACACCTGTTGTTTTAATCCATCTCTTTTGTCCACTTTTGGCCACTTTCCTGATTTCTTTGAGGGGAGG